GCAAGTGGGATGTTACTTCTGTCAGCAAGAACCTCCACACAGGTGCACAGGGAGAGAGGTGTTTTACACAGCGCTTGCTGTGGAGCTCTAAGCAGCTCTGTTATTCTTGCCAAGCCCCAGATCAAGACCACAGAAGAGAGTTCAGGCACAGCTCAAAGAGGCAATTAGTGCAAAAGGAGTCACCCTATTCTAGAGAAATCTTTATTGTGCAATGGACCCTATCCTACCAAGGCAACTCCTCTTCAGGGAGAGCAAAACCTGCCACAGAACAAAATGCTGGAAGATTTGTTGTGCCGGATGAAGAAGAGGAAGGGATGATCAGCAGTGAAATCTGGAACGATTTCAAGGCACTTTAACATTATTCTTGCCACTGTGGCAGCAGCTGCTTCAGTGCCTTCTTCGTTGACTTCCACAAAGGACTTGTGAACCACTTCAGAGAGCACCAGCTCATTGCCAGATGACATTCCTGAGAAGTCTGCCTTCCCCGAGTCAAATGCATCAGGCATTCCCATGCAGCTCAGAATGGGTTTCAGATCATAATCTTCTTCCAGCTTAAATTTGGGTAAGAATACCCTCACCTCTGTAGAGTCCATCATTTCGGGATTGATCCAATCTATCAGCTTCTCATATGTAAGTTCTCTTTCCAGCTAAAGAAAAACCCCACATTTATTAGTTACAGTGAGAAGCAAGTCAGTGTTACACAAGCAAAAGAAGTGATTACTGGGTTTGTTTACCTAGCACAGAACATGCATCTTTTTTACAGTGGTTTAGAGTGTCTCAAGCCAAAAGTGCAAGTTATACTTCTTACTACAGACTACGGCCCCAGCCAAGATCATTCCCATATGCTTGTTTTGGTAGGGACAACAGGGATTAATCCCTTCCCTGTAATGTTTACTTTTACAGAACATGTTACGATTCTTGGCGGTTTTTTACATTTTTACATATGGGAAGCAATGGCACAGGAGCTGCTGGCCAAGTCCCAAAGAAACTGAACTCAGTTCTTCTGTCTCTTAACCAATGGTTCCTCCTGCAGGTCGACAGGGAAGGAAAAAGTCTGCTCATAAGGCCCTTCACCATCAGTGACAGAATACCTTATTAATAAACATGTCCAGATCACAAAATACTCCAAACTTGTATCCCATCTCCAACAGAAGAGATCCTACCCTCTCCTGTGAGCCTGTTGCCAGGTGCTGTGCCATGGACCATCTGCCAGCTGCTCAGAACAGAAGATCTACAGGAGAAGCCGCAGGACTTCCTAAGAGGCCACCCAAATTCCCCCTCTCCACTTATGATGCTCACCATACCACACCTTCACCCTAACCACAGCTGACCTCTGCTCCTGAGGAGGGTCAGATCTTCTTCCACAGCCTCCTGCTAAGGAGGCAGCACCCAGCTTGAGCAGCAGTGACACCAGTGGCCTAGTCACTTTGGGGGCAGGGAACTGTTGGACATTTCAGCTGGCATTGAACATCGGTGACAGAATAGCTCTGCAACCAAACTGAGGTCTATGTGCTAGACCAGACTTTCTTCCCGGGAAGGATACAGGCTGTCCTTGCATTCAGCTCAACCACTTACTCTTTCCAAGCCCGTGGATCCATCCTGGATTACATCAGGGAGCAGGATGATCATGCTCAGTTCATTACCAACATAGGGCAGCTCAAGGATTTTGGTCTGGAAGTCTCCAATATAGGTCATGTTAAATCCATCTGTCTTGAACATCATCTG